GGTTTTGCAATCGAGTTGAAAATGTCAAGTTGCTGGGAGACTTGGAGGAAGTCGGGCAATCAATTAAGGCATGAAAACATGAGGTTATAGACACATTACGATTGAAGAATAATAATGTAATTGGTTAGTTCCGTTGATGATGGACGAACGTGCAAGTTAAGCTAATTTTTTTCGAAAGTTTTTGGGGAATTGCTTTGCATGTTTTGATCAAGTTTGCAAGGTTTTAGAGCGGAGAACTGAGGTAAATTTTCAATTGAATCTTCGGAAAACCGCGCAAAACTTAGTAGATCTCTTTGTTTGCAATTTCATTGCTTCCTATTCGCTTTTATTCTTTGTTACCTGCATTGGAAACGTGTTTTAATGAGTAACATTAATTCGAGAAAACAAATTAATTCTGCAGCTAAATTACTCACCAAGCTCAAGGTGTTAAATGAAACAATTTAAACAATTTCACTGAGGTCAAACCCAACTAGACTGAGGCACGATTATTGTTTGCAATAAAGCGATCGTCTATTCTATCTATTTAAATGATAATCTGGTTGTCTGAAATTTAAGGCAAAATTAACGCATTAATGAAAAATTGCGTTGTTGGTTTCGTCCCCTTGAAAATGATATCAGGATTAATTAATTAAGTAATAGTAAATATTGATAGCGTGAATTAAATGTGAAGTTTGATTCGGTTGACGAAAGTGATCATTTTGTTGAAGGAAAACGTATTTATTTATCCGCAGGCAAAAATCACTTAAACCTTAAATTGATTAACAATGAAAAAAAGATTTAAAACCAGGAAAAAATTTAGTTATTGTGAGCCTGAAATGCGTTTATTTTGAGATGTTTTGCGAGAGATGTTAATTTGATGCGAAAAATGTGATTTTTGTACGGAATTTCACTAGGAATCCTTTGTTCTCAATCTAGGTTTCAAATTGAAACATTTTCGTCTTAGAATTTAAAAAAGGTGTTTCCCCTTTAAATCTTTCGATAATGCAACTCTGTTATCTGGATTGCTACATTATGTCCCCAAGTCAAAATGGATTTCCTTCCTTTGTTGGCTGGTAAAGCTATTTGAGATTCTAATCTAATGAGAATTTTTCGACTGGGATAATTTTCCTAAAAGTTGCCAACACAATTGTCCAAACCACTCCCCCGATGCCCAAAATTTAAGTGATAAAATAAAATAATGATTGATTGAATTGTGAAAATCATTTCGTCCACTTACACGTTGATAGCGAAATGTTTTATTAAAATAGCTGATTAATTATGTAAGATCCAGAACCATGCAAATATTGTTTTCAATGCTCAATCACGATTGTACAGAGTGTAACTGTTGTTTGGTGGTAATTTATCATTTGTGGTCCTTCGAGCCGGCTTAAATCACTACTATTTACAATTTGACGTCATCATTTCATTCTGCTATATCAACATGGCAAATTAAATAACAGCAAATGGCCTGAAACAACTAAACAACCAGCTACGCATCGATTGAACTGGTACTTTCTATTAAATGATGCATTTTTAATGGACTGGTTAGTTTTATGTAATTGCTGTAAAAATATTGGCAAACAGAGGAAGACTTGTTTAGGTCGAAGAACAATGTTGTATGTTGTTGTTGTAGTTGAATCCACTTCTTCATTCGTCACATGCAACCTGATACAATTTTCACAAGAACCTGTATGGTCACTCTGGGAGAAGTTCGCGGCACGACTAACTAGATAACTAATAGACACAAATTACTATCGCTATTCAATCAGTTTAGTTGACACTCACAGATAATGCGGCTTTGTTCGATCGCGAAGAATTGAGTGCCGAGCTCGACCAACGGTCACAACTAGATTGTCCGTCTGAAATGTCTGACCTCGCAGTTAAATTAAATCCAGCACACGATTTGGAGAACGAGAGGGAGAAAAAACGAAATAAGGAAATTAATGTGTGTGTGTGTGCGCAATGGTCATATACAATCTAGGCACGAAGAGCTTTGTTCCATCGTTGAAAGTGAACTGTTGCACTTTCGTTGCGCGTCCATTATCCATCGTTATTTTCTTATTTTCTACTTCAGTTTTTCTAACCATCCAGTCAAGGTTTGCTTAGAAAAGCAATTTCCCAGCAAGCAAAAGCAATTTCTCAACAAACTTCTGCTGCAATCCAGGTTTTCTTAGTCAATAAACACATGGACACAACAATCCTGCTAGCTGATAAGATAAGGTTTTATGGCTTGCTTCAGACATTTTACGACACATTTACATATGCAAAAAATAAACACTTTACGACATTTTATCACGTGCACAACGCTTGCAAAAAACTTGGGCTTTACAGAGGGTTTTTATTATTTGTTGCCCAAATTCCGCGAATTTGCCCTCCTGGCATTGAACCGATTGCTCAATTATAAATGTGAAAGATATTTAAAGTTCAGAGAATGCGATTGACAAATTATTCATTTCACATTTTCGCGTCTCCTTTCGAAAATATTTTTTCCAAGTGATTTGAGCGGCGGGGCAACTTTGATTAAGCGAAATTCTTTTCCACAACGGCCTAAAGGTCCGAAACACTCTGCAGCTTCAGTCCATCGTCGCGAAAGCCCAACTAGATCAATATATTTTTTTAATAGTACGTAAATCGGATTGGTTATTAATTTGCCATAAAGTACTTGGGGCAAAAACATTTTCGATGTTATAAAATCTTTATGTTAAGGATTTAATGGAAAGAAAGAAAGCTTTACTGGATTGTAAGGACATTTTTTAAAACTTTTTCATTATCTTTGAGGCAACGGAAGACTTCGCGATAATAAAACGCGAAATATTCCTTATAGCCTTCACTTGTTTGGTGTAAGTTCTGCATGCTCAATTTTTCAGTTTCATATTATCGGTATGGCCTAAATTTCTTGCAAAGAATAACGTTTTTTTTAATTGCAACTTTTTAAAAAATTTCATGAAAATATGGGATTGAAAGACTTACACTTTCTACTTACAGTGTACATAGTTTAGGAAACCTTTTTTTAGCCTGTAAGAGTACTTAGCATCCAGATTGAAATAAATTCGATCGCTTAATATACGAAGTGAAATACAACGAAAATTTTGCACATCTTCCCAGAATTTTTGTGTAGATTAGCAGGCAAACTTACCTGCATATTGGAACCCAACAGTTGAAACAGGCCACTGTTTGTTATGCCCTTTCCCTTTGGAACCACAAACGCGTGAATCCGCTCGACCAGATTCACCACCGAACTTGGATCGTGCGAAATGACGCTCCTGGCAAAATCCTCCAAAGTCACTCTTTCGTAGTCTTTTTGCTCATTGCCGTATTTTTGCATTCGTCTATAGTTTGCGTCCATGCGGGTCAAGTAATCGAGCAAATCGTTCAACCGAAGTTCAAGTCGTACTCGTTCGGGAAGAGTATGCAGGATGGTGGTCATTGATTGAGTACCTTTTGAGGGAATAGAGTAGAACAGTTCTTTAATTCCTACCGATGGGATTCCCAGATTCAAGCGATTAAAAAATTCGGATTTATCTAGGATTAGGAAGCAGTTGCAATCTTATCGTGGTAGACAAAAATAGCATTCATCTGATATTCAACTGTTGTTGTCAAGTACTGTCCTGGGGCTCGGTTTTCTTTGAGTTGAGTTGAGTGAAAGCCGCCAACGCATTATTTTATGTCTGGCGCAACGAAAAATAGGAACCTCCATTTGTTTGAGTTACACGTTTCTTTTGCAAACAGAACTGCATCATATTTTTTGTTTTTTGTTTGTTTAAATTCATTTGATGATGAATCGCGTGTCTTATCAACTATCAATCAAGAACTCGCATTTCGAAACCACATTGTCAAGGTTGATGTTGGGTATTAATTATAATTTTCGTAAAGTTAACTGGGGTTTCGACCGTTAGTAATATGAAGACATTTAAAAAACTCGTTTTGTGCTATTTCTGACCAAAGGTCGCGTTATAGAAATTAATTTTTTCAAGAAGACCTCCGGGGACTACGAACTAAATGGGTTCAAGTGGGCGAAGCTTCGCTTGCAAAGTTTTGATTAATTGTGGCGCAAAACTTAGGAAATTTCGATTCTCACTTCATTCCTTTGCATGTATGAAGCATGTAGAGCAATTGGGCAATGGGGTTTATTAGCATAACTTCATTAAGGTGAAATTTTGCTGATTCCTTCGATGTTAAGCGCGTAGAAATATGCGTTGCATTCAAACTGATAATCACAGAAGCCGCAGTTGGCAAACACAATGGGCTTGATTGGTTTATCGAGTAAGGTTCCATTGTCAATTCAATTGCCTTTCGAAGATTGCTGAAGGCATGAAAAAATTCAATTGTGCTCTATCAATATTACCTATCGTATCAACTCTGGCAGCCAAGTCATCTAGCCGATTGTTGATTCGTTCAATTCTTCCGAACAATTTGTTCTCCGTTTTATGCAGAATCGGTATTGGAACTTCGGAGAAATCGATGTTCTGATCGACCAGATCCCAGGCTTTGACCAACGCGATGCCAATATCTTTGGCCGCTTTGACAATATCCAAAACACTTGAGAACGTCAATAACACACCGGAACCCGTCTGCAAACAAAGGAACACAAGTGCACAGAGGCAAATCAGTCTAATTGGTGCCATTCCGAGGTTTTTGCCTATCCATTCAAGTGGCGAATAGACAGAAAATGGGACCAGCTGAAACAGCCGAGACAAGCTGGTGGCGATGCTGTTGTTTTTTACTGTTCACAATCGGTCGGGTACTATTCTAAAATTATAACGCAGTGGAGCCGTGGAACGAATGAATGAACCATATGAAAGGCGTCAAAAGAGGTGGTACCGGTACCCAATGCTAAGATTGAACAGTTTATATACAGGGCGGCGTAATCAGGAATCTTCCGGGCAGCAAAGAAATGGTACCCGTTTTGTGGACGGGGTTGCGGTTTGACTCAAACTTGGTCAATCGTTATATGCAATTGTTGCTGATTCACCCAAAAAGACAAAAAATGGATGATTCACACGATTATTGACTTCGGCTAGAGTTCACAGGTTTCCTGTTGAACCTGGCTGGTACCTGAGACGAGGCACTAATAAATGACTCATCAGTTTGCGAGGCTTCGGTAAAAAAATGAGTTAACGAATCAACAATGCTTTCTTGAAAGTAACTGTTTTGGGTGTTTTAAGAACCAACTATATGCTAGAGACGTTTTTTCTTTGTTTGATTTCACATTAGAAGTCATTTAAACTGTTTGCCGCATTGATTAGTTGGATTTCCAATTGTATTGATTGTTGGAACTGTTCGGTTTTATTGGCAAAAAAACCTATTTTAATTGTAACGAATTAGGCAACAGATTTTTCAAAATAATCTCTTCAGGTCGCTTTCTATGAGATTTTGAATGGAGTGTGGGTGAGAAATGGCCTACAAATCAAAGGACAAGCGATGACGTACATCCAATGCAATTTTAGTAATTCCATGCTGGATCTTGACTTATACCTTCTGCAGATATGTTGTACTAGAGTGAATACCGAACGTTTTCTCTCCATGATTATTGAACAGTGAGTATCAAAAATGTAAAGTATACTTGAATAATTTTATAAACGTGCTTGTTTTCTCATTTCAGGTTTCGCATAAAACGTTTCTTAAGCTTGGCCCCTTTCAGGGAAGCTCAAGATAACGTTGATTTTCCGATGGTCGAAAACTGTTTGCTGTTTCTGGCAACGCTGATTAATCTACGTACTAACTTAGGTACGTATTACGAAAAATTAACAAACGGCAATTTCGAATGTTTTAAAATTCAATATTTACGCAACATATTTGCAATTTAAAAACGCTTTCGTTAAGATGAAAACTATGGGATTTTTTTGTAGAAAGTGGTGAGTTTTTTGGGCTTTTAGGCACCTGTGCTTGCGAAACGCCAGGAAGAATTTTTTCCACAGCTGCTTAAAACCTGGAAAAACTTGCCAGTTGTGTAGATTAATTTTCGCGCTTAAACAACGATATATGTATTTAAAGAAATCTATATAAACTCCATTTACATGAGCAATTTTTAAATTTCTCAGGACTACCGGATAAGGTAATAAACCGTCTGGAGATCGTCACAATACTTTGCGGAAATGATAAAACGCACTCGCAACTTATTGACCTGATACCAGAAAGGTAAGTGATATTTTTTCAATTATAATTTAATGTAATTAACCATCAAAATTATTAAACTTGGAAAAATTCCAGTATACGAGCTAAAAATGAATTCCAAAATTTACGTAGATATGGAACACAAACTAGGGATTTTGAGGAAATAGTCGCGGAGTGCGCGGATTACAGGAACCATGCTTTAGATCCAAGTGGTACCATGCAACAAGGAATGTACACACCAAAGGCTAGTGTTTGGGAACATCATTACGACCCGATTCATTTGCTTCTCAGGGCCGTGCACCGAAAAGATTTTCAAAATTCAATGGATAGATATACTGAACAGTAAGTTGCTCCTGCCTAATCCATTTGAATGATGTAAATTGTTTTGTCCCTTCTAGTTGTAGACAAACGAATAAATTGAAGCCTGGAGTGACGCCGTGGCCACCATTCAAAGCGCCCCTCAATGTAGGCGAAAACTACATCGATCCTCGACACATTTTGACCTGGAATGTATTCCAGTCCATGGCTTTTATAATTCTATATAAAGCGGTGAATAGTCAAGTACCAGAGCAAGTGATCGCTTTTACTCTGTTTCTGCTGGAGCAATCAGTATATGTTACGAACATTTTCAAAGATACGGTATTTAATGCTCCAATTGCCTTTGATCAATGCGGATTTAATGTGTTTCTTTCTAGTACTCTAAACTGTGTTTACCGCAACCGAACAAGTCACGCCACGTCGTAGATGGGGATCTTGGCAACTGGTTCAAGACTGGGCACGTTTTCGATAACTTTCGGACTGTAATACCAAAAGTGGTTTTACCTGGCGCCATACCTGACATTGTTCCTTCGCCTATATTGTATAGCTCGCCCGAAAGTAAGTAGCATTCTGAGTTTTGTTTAATTTTCATTGACATTTCCAGAATGTGTAACTTATAGCTAAGAAACGTAGTTCAGCAGCACTAAATTTTTCATCCGGGAGTCTATCAGTATCAATGCAACGCGAAACAGCTAAATGATTTAACAGCTGAAAGTTCTCGAGTTCAATCATTTATAAAGAATCTTTAGAATCATCTATAGCAATAATGTCCACGCATTGACACTTTTAGCTTAGGAAACTACCATGCAATTGTTAATTTTAATGTTCGTCGTTTTTAGGTGATGTGGGAGAAGATGAAGTAACTTCATCCGGTTCCGATGATATCGTAATGTCGGCTCCTGATGGAAATCAACAGGAGCATTTAATGTTGGAGCAAGAATATGACATCGATTACTCTGTCGCCGATGAAGAAGACATGCAGTTGATGCTGTACACCAACTCGTCAAATTCAATAGGTGATTCTTTTATTGGCATGTTGAATGAACTTGTGATGTCTGGTGTTCTAATTCTCTTCTCGAGTTGTGCTGAAACTAACATGTTTCCACCCGAACGATTCGATAATTATGTCTTTTCCCCGATTCCAGACGAAGCTCGTAGTGTTCCGGAATCTCCTGTTGAGATCATATCTCCCTCCATGGCACTTTTACCAGCATCGGCTGAATCTGCAGTTGTACCTATGGACGTTGATGATCGAACAGTGGCGATACCTGGAGACAAAACACTAGCCAGACAATGTAAATATATTTATTTATAACCATTTTTTATAATGTAAACTCATTACTAACGTTATTGAAGGTCCTGTCCTCATTTTCCGCCCTCATTTCATTTGTCCCATTCATTTGCCCCTGTTTTTTGCCTTATTAAGGCGTAAGTAATAATAAACTATTATTAAGTAAAATAGTATACAAACATCGATGGGATGTTTAATTCCTGTCTCGAGAGATTGTTTCTAATTAAGTTATTGCAATTTTAGCCGAAGATGGCACGGAACATTCTGCTCCAGCTAAAATATGCAATTATCCAGCGTTAATGGCTGGCACGGAAGTTATCAAATCGAATTCACCTGGTGAGTATTCGCAACTAATCACGCACTGAATGGATCTTCTGATTGTACTTGCAAACGTTCACTTTAGCATAGTGCAGATTTGTCATTGAAATTTTTGTCGTGATTTTGCTTGATTGTTTGCGCAATTGTTTCATGTCTACGTAACTGTAAACCCGTAATTTCTCAAGAAGAAAATAGAGAAACTTTTGTCAGACCCAGAAAATGTTTAACAGTATTGTGCCAAAAAGTCTTCACAACCCGGTTTACGACTGATTTTTGTAGACTCTAGCAGATTGGTGCCACACTTGCGACAGTCTCGCCCTTCCACAGGCGAAGGTTTCGCATTTCCATCAACATCCCAAGGTTTTTCACGGAGAAGGCATCCTTATCGACCTAAGAAATCTCCAACCGTAAGTAATTTCTATATGGTTAAACTCATTAAGAAGGCAAATAATTCTTTTTTTAATAATTAATTATTATTATTACTATTATTATAAAGAGTGTGGCTTATTCTAGGAATTACCAGAAGATCCTACTTTGGAAATCCAAGAGAGTATAATTTCTCTTTTGCTGAAGCTGCATTCGAAGCTGTCTGGAATCCTAGATAGTTTTGACCCAGATGATGAAGAAATTGATTATTTAGTTCCCGATGATAAGGTTTGAGATAATGCTTTTCGGTTTATATCAAATTTGATTGTTCCATTCTTTAGGTACCCTGTGGCGACGGTCCGTTCTACGTTGGAAAATTACTGAAGAGAATTGCTGTATCTGATAAAAGTTGCTACGATTATATACAAAGAACTAGGAAAGAGATATGGCCATCCAATGTGGAAAAGGAGAAAGCGAAGCAAATGCGACAAAATAAGGAAAGAGAAGATCGGCGGCGGAGAGCCAAAGAGCGACAGGTGGACTCAGTTACACTTATAGAGAGACAGTTTATTGCAACGGCCAGTTTCTTTTGTTTCAGGAAAAATTAATGGCCGAATTCGCCGCAAAGCAAAGAGAATTCTTGAAGCGCGAACAGGAGCGGATGGAGACGGACGAAAATGGGGAGACCCTGGACCAGAGCAATATATCAATTAGTAAACAGGAATATGACTGTGCAATATGCAATATAACGTATGGACTTGAGCTGTTCGAATTACGAGATTTTCATTAACAATTATTTTTTTAGTTCTCCCAGCACCGAGGAAATGCCCATGGGCTTAGTGGCCTCAGTTCATTCCACTGCTGTTATAGGCCATCGACGGAAATATGGACAGCCAGAAGTATACATGTTACCAACTTCTGATGATGACAAGGAACGGATTAGAAACGACAACACATTATCAGCAGAATTCGATAGAAAAGTCGAGGAATTTAATAGTCATTTTGATCCGGTAAGATTCGGTTTTTACGGAAAAACTTTGTTTGCTTTTGCTATAGCATGAAGGGGAATCTTAATATATTATTTTTCCTTAGGAGTCCTGGTTTATGGCTGTAAATACTGGATGGAATGGTGGAGTGCATATGCAAACGTGTGGCCACCACTTGCATCTGCAGTGCCTAAATTCGTATATTAGTACTCTTCAACGAACTCAATCGCGACCACAGGCTGCTTTATCGCATGAAAAGTAAGCATCAACGTCTACCTCAACTTGATTTTCGGAATCCCTTTTTAAATTTATTAATCGGCATTTTAGGGGCGAATTCTCCTGCCCAGTGTGTAGACAACTAGGAAATACCGTCTTACCAGTGTCGTCACAATATGGAGACAAATCTCAAATAGTTAGGACCAGGACGAATAAAGGCATGATGCAAATATTAGATGAAATAGGCGACTTTCTCAAGGATAACGAACAGAAGCCGGTAAGTGGCAAGTAATGAGTGCGTTTTACTTACTCATCATCAAATGCAATTTCAGAGTTCGTCGCCGATGGCCGAGGCGAAAGGCAAAGTGATGGAGGTGATGAGCAATTGTACTCAAATCAAACCGCTTTTCAAATCAAAGAATGACACTCCAGTACCTCAGAGTTTGTTCCTGTTCTTTACCTCAATAGCGCGTACCAATTTGGAGGTGGAACTCGTGCAAAGATACGGTTCATTAGTCAAATTGCCTAACGACCCGCCAAATATGTTACTACCAAAGAGAGATTGTGTTGGTAAGTAAGGAAAACAGGAGGTGATGAACTGACAATTGAAGGAGTTAGAAGCAAAAGCGCCTAAATAACCAGAGGGTTATTTAGAGAAATGAATCATCAACGTTTGGAGAATTCTTAACTTGTAAATGAAAGAAAATTAACCTGGCGTTAATGGTGAGATTACGTCTAATCCCTTCAATTAACACTCAATTACAGCAAGTCATTGGCATTTTGGGGGCGGTTGGATTAAAATGTATAAAAATTCCGTGGTATTAATGTCGATGTATTTCCCAGCTCAACTAATGGACGTTTTGGGTACACATTCCCGAGTATCGACTAGTGTAACACGATGGCCAGCTTGTACAATCTTTAGACGATTGTGCGGATTGCCACCTCTAGAGCCAGCCACGTCTTTGGCCCCCATCGAACGGGAAGTTCCATTCCTATTGAAAGATCCCACAGCGTTGTTGTTGCAGTTTGTGTTACTGCTTCCATCGCACATAGATCAGAGTAAGTGCCTGTCCTCCATCATCTCTGATTTAGTTTAATAAATGTTTTGCTTGTTTTGCAGTATATTTTACGGCAACCGTTCAAATGATGTACAACTTACTCTACTACCAAGTGGTTGCTCAAATCTCATGCGGTTTAACTAGTTGCGAGCGTGCCTCTGCTGCAAAGGAAGCGTCTAGAGAAGAATTCCGAAACTTTGTTGATGCTTTGGGCTTGGTTACTGAATGTCTGGGCCACACGGAGCTCTACATGGATGACGATGATCTTAGTGAGAGGGGCCCAATTACAGACGATAATGATAGGAAGATAAATAGTGTCGCGCTAGAACAGCAGGTTGGTACTAAAGAGCAAGCTTTACGTTGCACAAAATACGTCTGCCATGGGCTCAAAAGAAGAATGAATGGATTCAAATGTAAAATTCGGCTAGTTTGACACGATATTTTGGTTTGTAGGTTCAAAGGTTGTGTTTGCCCTTCTTGAGGATCGCCTCATTGCTCAAATATCACCTATACAATCACCCACTGCCCGACATTCCTTCACCGCAAAGCGAGTTCGTCCGGCTAGTTTACTACTTGGAATTAGTTACAAAGTCAATGGATTGGAAGTGCTTCAATGCTAGCGTCGCCCTAAACTGGCCCCGAAACTCAGATTTGTGCAGGTAAATATTTATTATCAGGCTCTGGAGATTATCACTGAAAATTATACTTAATAAATTAAGAAATGAATAATTTTTATGGCGCCCATAAAGATTTATCGATGTGGAGAAGGCACGTTTTGGTGCATGAGTGAGTAATTCGGCGGGGGCATTAATTGATTTTTATACTCAGCCATCGATAATCGGGCCAGCCAAAACTTGTTTTTTTGTAATAGATTTTAATTAGTGGGTTAAAAACACATTCAACAACTTCTCAAAAATTCCCTGAAGATGAGTCAGAATCGAAACGTTTCTTGAATAAATAACTGCCAAACTCAGGCCTACAAAAACTGACTTGGCGAACCAAACATAATTCTCCTCTGATCATGACTGAAACTTGAAACTTTGTCAACTTATAGAAGGCACTCTGCTCTACACAATACCAATCCAAAATTGAGTTTCTCACTGTGTAAGTTACAAAGGAAATCAATCCTAAACTGCAGCTTGCAAAAGTCACCACAAAAACCAGACGCAATTTAAAAAAATCGCATATTTTGTTACAGATCGACTCCCCGATTGTGGTGCAACGAATTTGCCGCATTTGTCACTAAGAGCCAAATAGCTGCTAGATCTTTCCTGATGGATCAGACAGCTTTATGGCATTCGCCCAGACTGTTAACTTTGCCTGCAGAATATGAGAGAATATTTACTGTAAGTACTATTTTTTTGAAAATCTTGTTTAGGTCAAGCGTTCTCTGTACGTTATTGTCAACTGATTATTTGATTGTTACTTGAATCTAACGCGAATTGCTATAATATTAAACTACATTCATTGGTATGTTTAACTATTAGGAAATGTGGTTCTAAATTGGCTTATTTTTCCAGTATTACCATGAAAGACCGTGCAATCAATGCCACTCGGTTGCCCAAGAAACAAGTATATGTCTCTTATGTGGTACGATTGTATGTATGAAGCAAAACTGTTGCAAGCAGCAAAACGTTTGCGAAGCAGTCGCACATGCTCAAGAATGTGGAGCGGGAACGGCCCCGTTCCTGGTAGTTACTTCGACATACGTAATAGTTATTAGAGGACCACGAGCCTGCCTGTGGGGAACATTGTATTTGGATGTCTTCGAGGAGGAAGACAAAGATCTAAAGTAAGTGGCAACTAAATGGATAACTGTAAATGTTATTTTACGTTCACTTATTATGTAAAAATTAAAAATATATATTTATTTCATAATTACTGCCACGCTTGTTGAAGTTTTCACTTCTATCGTGTGGTCTGAATTTACAATATTTGTTTGGTAATGTTTTAGGCGTGGAAAACCGCTGTTTTTATGCGAAGACCGATTTCGACTATTGGAACAGCAATGGCTAGCCCATCGTTTCGAGCACACGAAGAAAGCGTGGATTCTCCACCGGAATGCTCTCTAAAATTAATCTGTAACTACTCCCAACTTGTATCCTGAAAATAATTATGCTGACAAAGAACATTTTGTGATTCACCTATTTAACAGTTTCGTTTATATACAAATTCAAATGGAATAAAATATCTGAATGAAATATTTTCGCTATTAGTTACGAATATTTGATTTGGCGTTGGAACCTTCATTTCATTCAATTTAAACATTGGATAGTTTAAGCTTCCCTCATCGCTGACTTTTTACTGAAATCCCATAATATTTGGTAACAGTCCTTCATATTCACACTGGTTTAAATCTAGTCCCATTCTGAATAGTTCCTGGGATTGTTACGCTTCAGAAGTGGCCTTTTCATTTGATTAACAGGTAAATGCACTGGCATTTGTGTGGTATACGAAATGTTATTGTCTTCGTTTATCGCAACTTACTATTTATCTTGTTACTGATAAATGTTTATCTATAAGGAAATGTACATACCTAGGATTATTACTAATATGTCGAAAACGTATATGTAATATATAATATGTATTGCTTTATGTTTCAGCTTGTTTGTGATAATAAATATCTATTTTTATTCTACTATTAATAGAATAGTTACTTTAAGTGCTGTCCAAGTGGACACGAAATGTGCATATGCGTTTAGGATAATTTATATTTCTTTTTATATACTTACATTTGCGAAAGGGCTAATTTTTCCTTCGATTTACCAATTGATCAAGTCAGAGGCGATGATTTTATTGATATTTCTTTTTCTATTTGTAACGTATTATAAGTAAGTGGATTCAACGAAAACTATTTTTTTAATTTCAAATGTTTTCGATTAGTTCCAACCAAATAAAGAGCATTTAATTGCAAAGCAAAGAGAACGACTTTTCATTATTTAGTTAACGACACGCTTAACTATTTCCTGAATTTCACCTTTGAAAATGATTATTCTAGTTATCAGTGCCATTGTTATGCGTCTGGTATTAAGAGCGAGTTCTGCTATTAATAGCCCACTTTCTCCAAGCTGATGCATCGCCACTTAACGGAGAATAAAATTTGGATTTAAATCGCTGGCTCTTGGCATGTAAATAACAGTCTGTGGTTGTTTACGACTCATCTATTGTTTTATCAACGTCTCTTCAAGATAACTGTGCTATTTATTTTGAACTGAATTTCCATATCAACACCTACATATAAAGCACAAAGCGGCAAAAGTAAGTAGGTAATCAAGCATTGCGTTTTAAATTGCTTTAGTTGTTCACTTTATTGTACTTTTAGCACAGCTTTTGTGAAGAATGGAGCCAATAATTCTGGTACACGGCGGAGCAGGAAATATCGTATCTTCCAGAATTCCACTGAAATTCGATGGCACCCAAAGGTCTGTTGAGGCTGGATACAAAATTTTGCAAAACGGTGGAAGTGCATTGGACGCTGTTGAAGCCGCTGTGAGAGTCATGGAGGATGATGAAGGTTTTAATGCAGGTGAACAATTGGAGGCGAATTAAAGGGGCCAACGCGCTGGACTATCGGAATTTCAGGATATGGATCCGTGCTGAATTTAGATGGAGAAGTGGAAATGGACGCCAGTGTAATGGTAGGAGCTGACTTATCCGCGGGAGCAGTAACCGTGGTTAAGGATATTGCTCATCCCATCAGGTAATATCGTCTTAATGGAAACGTAAATGGAAAGCAACTTTCTGGTTTTCAGTTTAGCTAGATTGGTGATGGAGAGAACTCCTCATGTACTTTTAGCAGGCGTTGGGGCGAACAGGTTCGCAAAAGAACAAGGGATCGTTAGACTAGCTGAGGGCAGTTTAGTTTCACCGTATGCCAAACTAACACTTGAAGAGTTCAGGAAGCAACAGAGCACTGGCACGGAAATTAAAGTAATTTGGCAGAGGAACATCAATAAGGCAAATTTTAACTTTTTTAAAACAGAATCCGGGCGAGGTCGGCACTGTTGGGGCTGTTGCAATTGACAAAAACGGAAAATTAGCTGCCGCCACCTCAACCGGAGGTTATTTTGGCAAAATGGTTGGCAGAAGCAGCGATACTTCTTTAATAGGTTGCGGTACTTACGCAGACGACAACATCGGCGCTGTGTCCACAACAGGTTTCCACAAACTGTTTAACTAAAATGCATACTTGATAACGGAAAATGTTTAAGGGCATGGCGAGTCGATAGCCAAATATTGCTTAGCGCACGCTATAATAAAAGCCATGGAGTATGGACATAAATCGGCAAGCGATGCAACAAATGAAACCCTCAACCAAATGACGTTGAAGCTAAAACATACTGCGGGTAAATTAGATTTTTTAAATGTGATTTCCCAATTTTCACTGTTTGAAACCGATTTACCATAGGAGCTATAACTTTATCTAAAACCGGCGAAGTAGGCATTGGATTTACTTCTGAAGGAATGTCATGGGCTTACAGGAAAAAGAGCGAACTGCATTATGGAATAGAGAAGGGGCAACATGAAATCAAACAAGTCTTATGAAAATTCTACTGCATAAGTGTAAAAACCAGCAACCTACAACGCGAATTGTAAAAACCTGCATAAACTAAATCTAAAAAACTAATGATAACGGTGTTTTTTTACAATCATGTTGCCAAGTCTGGAAAGTTATCACAAAAATTATATACAAATCCTGTCCTTTCACAGTCATTCGCCAATACTTCGCGCATGAGGCTGCATACAGTTAAGGGTGTACGTAATCAAATTAGCATCTTGCATTAGTTTACTAACTCTTTTAAAATGCCGTTCCGTATACGGCAGCGCTTGTTCAGTGAGTTTGCTTAAACCTACAGGCCTGAAAAAACGAACAATCTAGACTCGATGGCGTTTTCCTACTAATTCAACCTACCTAAACTCGCTGGTCTGCATTTCCTTTAGCAAAATGTTCAGCACCAATTGAGCTGCATGGGTGTTTCTGCTGTTCATGTTCCAGTTTAAGGCGAAATTCATCAGGCTTTCTTTTTGATCATTTCTAAGCGATTTTACTACATCCGGCAATCCTACAAAGCACACAATAAGTCCACCTGTTTGCTTGAACAACTTGAGTAACATCGACGTACCTTCATCTCCCTTCTTCAAAATTCCTTGGACGATCTTCAAAGATTGCATCGGCTTTTCCAGCTTCAGCGACAGTTTAAGGGCTTTCAGCAGCTGATCGCTTTGTATGTAGTTGCTCAGCTTCTGCTCCTCCACAGCCACTTCCTCCAGTTCTTTTAGCTTCTGCTCTTTTCTATCCATTGTGACATCTTTCCACTTGATCAACTGTGAATCACTGCCGCCAGTTATAAAACCTGGTTGAAACAGATACATTCGTAACACAAGAAGGAAATCATGTCTCGTACTTACCGGACTCGTTGCTTTTAATGGCCAAGGCCCAGATCGTGGCATCATGCTGCTCTAAAGTACATTGGCATTCTGAGTTCTTCAAGTTAAAGAGCTTGATAAGTCCGTCGGCTCCCACACTAATCACTTGCAATCCCTTAAAAGCCACGTGTTTAAACAGATCTGACGCTCACAGAGCGTTATTTACCTTAGATAAAAAGTCGGCTTTTATCACGCTGGAATCGTGCCCTTCCAAGGTTTTCAAGCAGGTCAGATTCGCTACAGACCAAAGTCTAATCGTGCAATCAGCCGAAGAGGTGACAATGACCTGGTCCACAGGAGAAAACCTAAAAAATATCGTAGGTTTCGAGGATTCCTTAGTTGATTGGCTTAAAATCAAACCCTTACTTTGCGCTCCATACTCCTCGTTTGTGACCCTTCAAAACTCCCATTATTTCGAGTCTTTCGCTCTTCCACAGTTTCACAGTTTTGTCCTGAGATGCGGTTGCAACGAGCATGTCATTCGGGCTCACAGTCACGCAGTTTATTTCCTTTTCATGTGCAATAACCGTGTGTTTGCAGTTGATGGTTGTTTTGCCGTTTAATTCTATATTTTTCTTTGCCTGCGGTATTTCCCAAACCTTCAGGCACGTGTCGTCGCTTGCCGACACAAAAAGTTTACTCTTTGGAAAGAAGCAGACCGATTTTATTGAATGGGTATGTCGTTTTCCGACGCCGATACACCTGAAATTGGAGTTTTCAGTTAGTCAAATATTAGATGGAGACGCTTCAGTTTCTTACTTGACTTCCGCGTTCTCCATTTGCCAAAGACGCACGCTGTTATCTTTGCCAGCCGATACCATTAAGTTGGGGTTCAACGGACTAACAGCCAACGAAAGGACAAAGTCCTCATGCCCCTTTAGCAGCTGGCAACTCATGGATGTGTTCTCATACAACTTTATATCGTTTGAGTTCGTGGCCACTACTATATGGCTATCGTCTTGGCCGAAAATGGCTATGTCCAGAATGTCGTCGGAGAAACCTGCAAAAACGAAACGAGTTTGAACGAAATTTCAAAGCACACAATGAGTTTTACTCACCAACAAACTGCTTTAAACACGTAAAGGATTTCAAATGATGGATTGCTATGTTATGATCCACACTGACTACAGCTAAGCTCTTTGACTTCTCATTCAACATCAGATGCGTGATGGACAAGCCGCCTTCTTCAGCCGCTTTTGATACTAGTGAGTTTGTTTGCGTGTAAACAGTTTTGGCGTTGATAACATCCCATACTCGGATAATACCTAGAAGGATCAAAAATTATAAACATGTGTATACTGAGAAGTGAGCAATTAAATAAATAGTCGAGACAGTTCTTTCTAGATTAAAAATCCTTACCATTTTCTCCAACTGAGGCAACATAAACCCCATCAGAGTTGCCCTTAAAACCAGGCACAGTAAACTTCTGGGGCAGACTAACAATTACTTCAATTGCCTCGTTCACTGCAATGGCTTTGAGTGCGGTACTTTTATTGAATTGCCACAAGATGATCACCTTATCTCGGCCGCAAGAGACGAAATTCTCCTTGTTATGTGAAAAGGCGATTGAGGTGACTTTGCTGAAGTGGCCCTCGTATTTGGTTTTCAGTTGTCCTTTAGCTATAGCAAAATTGAAGAGCTCAAAAATTGACCAAACTAACTAAGTCCAAACGGGAACTTACATAATTCGAAGCAGTCGATCACCCCATCATCTGCAGAGGCGAAAATTTCGTCTTCATGAGGATGGTTCTCAACAACATTTACGACACCTTGCTGGCCTAAAAAGGAGTGGAAATTTAAAAAAATGCCCAGTTACGCACCACGTGGTGTGAGTACGTACATTTTAGAGCTAAAAGACAAGCTTGATGTTGTAAATCCCATATGCGAACTCTGCCATCCGATCCACCAGAGGCCAGCCTGCTTCCATTGAGGCTGAGCTTGGCAATTGGCCCTTTGTGGATGGATTTCCACATTTTTTCCACTGTCCCCTCTAGGCTCCATAGCTGCAGAAAAATTATTTCTAGTCAAGTCTTCAATTCAGTTAACAAGCAACTGCTTACTTTCAACAGTCCACTTTCGTGGGAAGTTACAAACTGAGTCCCATCAGTAGTGAAGGTATTAATTGAGTCAACCTCTTCAGATTCGCTTCCATTTCCAATGCTTTTCGTGACGGAGCCCGTTTCCACATCGAGGAGGTTGATGGCGGAAGCCGTTTGGCAGTATAAAGTGTCTTCAATCCATTGAATGTTGCCGCCGGTGTAGAAGGCACTATGTTTGGACTCTACTTCAAAACTAAAAAGAAAATCACATATTCCCACTTAGGACACAAAGAAGGCTGTAGATGGGCTGGAAAAAATGGCTTTTGGTAAAGAAACGCCACTAGGACAAGTCTGTAAGGTGAGCATATTAGCTTCGAACGCAAGAGCCTTATAAACTAGAAAAATTCCTTTAAATTTTATAAAGAATTGTAGTTTTGTGAGGCCTCTTGCATTTTTTGAGGACAAAAGTTCTCTTGACTGAATGTAATTTTCCTGATGATAAATAAATAAATATATACCTATTTTGTCTACAGATAAATGTTTTAAAACAAATTTATGTAAATTCTGATAGGCCTGTCACATTTTCTTGTTACTAAATTTGAAAATCGCGCGTCCCCGGATCTTTAACGATTATTTTATGACAGCATCTAAGTTATTTATTAAAATCTTAACCTAACTTATTCGTAGTGAGAAAACCTACCTTTATTAGTTAAAACAATTTAAAATTAGCAAGAAAATGGTTTAAAACTGCATAATACAAGACGGATAAAGGTACTTACGCTTCTTTAAGCTTAATAGGATTACTCATTTTTGATCAAACAGGTATAACGTGCTTAACTACACTGCCCCCACTTATTATAAAAGCACGTTTACTAATAAGTCTTCTTCTCTGGTTTATTAGCATTAGAGACACTACTACTTCTCTCTTCTAGCATTAATCATAGATACTTGTCTTTATATATGCATAGAATCACGAATTATAGAAAGTTCCAGCCATTTGCTTGAAAGTTTGGTTATAAAGGAGAAACCACAGGAGAAACAGAGACAAGAGAGAGTGAGACTCTGAGAAATGCCAAGAAATGTGGTTCCTGCTTCTCCACACGTGAATGAGTAGACAATCAGACAAGAGATAACAATCGACAACGCTGAGCTTCAGACACCATTTAACTAATTTAATTTTTACACTATTAATTGAAATTAATAATTTTGACCATGAATGAACTAATTATCTTAATTAATAATTTATACCTTTAGAGCGTAATTTCATTTCAAGAAATTACGAGAAAAAAGCGCCCGATGAATTGAAATTGAGAAAAAAATACAAATTATTTCCTAATTTAGCACCTACTTAACATTATTTTTTTTGTAGCACTGCTCTAAACTCATTTTTATAAAAGGCGCAACGAAAGCAATTTTTAAATTAGTGCGGCGGTAAAGCAGGAACGCTGCTGAAACCTGCTCAAAACTTTTCTTCCTTGAGCTCCTATTTTAAAATCAATATTGCTCAATATGAAAAAAACACATTCCTCACAATATTCCAAAAATAGTTTTTATTGTAATATCGAATCGCATTTGTATGTTTAAGTTCCAGTTATGTTCGCAAAATGCTATATAAGAAGCGTTGCAACGGCCGCTCTAAGAACATCCAGAATATCATCAGCTTGTTGTCACACAAACGCAAAAAATTCCAAAAA